GAATCGTAAAATAATTGAAAACTACTGACTGAGTACTTCGTATAACTGACCATAGGCAATGGTCTAAATTCCTATTAGGGGTTTTCAGTTTTAAGTCAAAATTGAAATCCCCTTTGAATGAGACAATAAAATGCAAAACTAAATGCTTAATTAAGTTAACTGTTGGAGTGGGAATTGAAAGCTTAACAGCCAGGCCATTACATAGTATAGTTGGCAGCTTTAAAGAAGTCAATCCCTTATTTGAATGATAATGTGAATATATATTTTTTGGTGCTTACGTGACAAGGTTGGATGTGTCATACATAAGAAAACTACTAAATAAGGTTACTTCAAAAGGCCTTAGAAATACTGGAACATAGTAGAAATGGGGCAGCCACTTGTAGCTCTTGAGAAAAACAGTGAAGTATAAAATAAAAGTTCTGGAAATTATTAATAATTATGGAAAATTATGCTGTATTTACCATTAAAATTAAGGGATAGTAGCAGAAGCGTAAGGGATTATGCGCCTTCCAAAAAATTTTAAGCATATTGTATACGAATTGCCATTTTTGTCTAAAAGCTTTTAAAGGCAAATCCATCGTCTAAATAGATTCATGAATCTGTCATCTCAAAAGATTACAACCCTCTCATTACAACTAAATTACCTTAAAGTTGGCTGCAACCGGTGTCCTCATCACGCTTATCATAATTCGGATGCATGTTGATAGATTCCCCGGAATTGGACTGCTCGTTATAACTAATCTTCGCAAAAATGTATCGATAGCGGCTATCAGTTCACTCCAGCCGGTAGCCAACAAGTGACTTGACTTGGCGTCATCAGTCATGCCGGGTAACTGATCTATATAAGCAGCAAGATTCTCGAGTAGTACAGGAAGGGTGTCCACTGGTAATGTCTTTCGCCGGTTCAAAGCATCCAGAGCCATGCTTGCTGGCTGGAACAAAGTTAGATGATCTTCAAAGTCGATCAGAACGGAGACGACAACCTTGAAGAAATTTTCATCTTTATGTAGTCGAAAGGACAGGAGTAATAAAAAGAGGAAGATGAGTCCATAAGTAGGTAAATAGAACTTATATTCAATAAAAACAATTTGTGAAGTAAATAGATAAAAAAACGGAATTTTCATACTAGGCAAGCAAGTGTACAGCTTTCAGGATATCTGTGTAAATAACCAGGTAAAATAGCACTACAGGTATCTTGGAGAACAAGTATTAGGAAGAGATTTTGTGGGAAGTTTAAATACAGATTTCATGTGATATCTTAAGAAGGCTTTGGTCCAAAGGAAGACTTATTTATCAATCATAAGAAAATGTTAGCAGAACTACGTGAGCCTGGAAAAGGCTAAATAAATATCAAGTTTCTGATGAAAGCAGGTTTCGATATCTATAAATACAGTCTGCAATTTCAAGGTAGTATCGAAGCAATAACTGCTTAAAATTTGCATATATAAAAGATTTCCCTTTGTGAGTTCCTAAATTAAGCGGGGCAGGAGAGTCTTCATTGATCGAGCATCCCGAGTTAGATCTCTGCTCTGAGTCCTTAACAATTTTGGAAACATAATTTTGCTCTTGCATTACAGATATCAAAGTGTGTACACTTGATCTATGCACATTCCTTATGATAGATAAATTTTCTAAGGGTATTGATAAGTCGGAGTAGTCTAGAATATAATTATGATTTCCAAACCAAAAAAACACCATATTCGACTGAATAAAAAAATTTATTTAAAATCATTTCTTCATGTCTCAAAAAATTATACTAAGATTAAACAATAGGCTAATGGAATTTGTTTTTAGTTAGACTAAATAAAACCGCCAGTTTGTAAAGTGATCGAAGTCTCTCATGTTAATCTGGCAATAAAGACTTGGTAAACGAACAAGTATTGACAGTGAATACAAATGCTAAACTCACCATTAATAGGTGTTTGGAAGAGTTGCACAAAGAGTCCATTTGGTGCTAAGTTATACAATGTACATCGAATAAATTGTCTTGCAATACTGGCAGTGTTTCCAGGAACAATTATATGCGGTCTATATAAAGTAAAAAAAGACGATTTACAAAATATTATAGCAAGATAAACATTGCACTGAAATTAATGATTTATTGGTTAAAATATAACAAAAAGTAACTAACTTTCATCGTAAGGATGAACTTTATCTCTTAATTAGATTCACAAAGAGAATACGTAATACCAGATACGGCCTCATGACTAAACGCATGACAAAATATCATAAAGTAGATAAATCTCATAATGCAATCAATAGAAAATTCAAGACCCATAAAACATTAGAAGAATAAGAGCTGAAAAATGATATTTTTTACTAAAACTGCGTAGTAGCATTACGCTCCATAGATATTTTTATTTAAGATATTGCTGAAGAGACCGCTTGGCTTGCTTTTATGATAAAAATAGGTATATTCCTCTATAGTCGAAGGTTCGCTATGCAACACGATATTTTAGAATTTTTAAAATAACATAATCTAATCAAAAATTGTATAATCTAATTGTTTATAGCTGTGCTAAGTTGGATGTAAATTAACTTTTAGGAAACTAACAGGCTAGTCTTCCAACTGTACATTTGAGAAGATGCTAATCGCGAGGCAATCAACAACATGTCAAGCAGGTATGGCGCAGCTAGACTGGGTTCGCGATGCACGAACGTAGCTAAGCATACAAGGCCGAGACCCAGAGTCACCTCGTCATATTGTTCCAGCATGGCCTGACACCAGGAGCATCTATCCGCTGTTAAGCCGATAGTTGCTGCGGCCGAAGCCGCAGATAAGCCGTGCGACGTTATGGCGTTTGAAGAAGTGTTAAGTCTAGGTTTAGGACGACCGGCTTGGTGAGTAAGGTTGTGGGTTGAAGTAGAAAATGACGAGGCGCCATGTAAAACAGGAGTGGAACCAAACTCTGGCGATGGGAAAGCGGTACAGGAGGCTTGCTGGCCAAGCTTAGTGGATTGGAAAGCTTATGAAAGCAAAAGTAAAACATTTTATCAAAATTAATTTAACAGTTAATTCTTTATATATTAGCAGTCTTTTAAGGCCAAATAAAGAAGCAAATTGTCAGGTAAAAAAAAATAAAAAAAAATGAATCCAGACTTAAGATGCTTTCACCTGCTTGTCCATCTTGGCACAAGTCTGGCTTCTTCAAAGAGCCGTTTTGATCAGGATGATGGTGAGGCCGAGTAGTAAGTAGTTTGCGGTGATTTCGGGAATGGCAAGACTCATACTGCTGCTGGTGATGATGACGATGTCGGCGTCTGAGGCGATTCGAACATGAGCAGCATATGCCATGAATATTATTCCGCGAAGAGGTGCTAAAAGAACAGTGGTGCCGGCGGGAGCAGCTACGCGAAGTCTGGCCCTTATCGAGGCGTATGGTAGCCTCAGCCAACTCGGGAAAACTTGTACACAAGAAGTAAAAGCAAAGAAAAGATAGGATTTAAAGGAAAGCATGAAGAAATAGTCGTTCTATATATCAGCCTAATATAAAGAAGAATAAAGAATCGTTTGCTACTAAAGTGCAGAATATTTAAACTCAGAAGTATACTATAAAGCTATGCAAACTAATGCACTCGTAATACATTACTAGAATAAATGATTATTATTAGGAATGTGAACACTAATGAGCTAGAAAATTTTAAAAATAGAACCATCCGAAATATAAATGCAAAGATGTTGTGGCCTCTGGTATGGTCGCAGACTCCTTTCCATTTATAGAAGTGGGTTGACCTCGTTGTCGTAACTTGGTCTTGTTGTCAGGGTGATTTAGTAGAACGCACCTAGTCCGAAGTCGTCTGCCATAGTATTTGTCATGATTCCCAGCATCAGACAG